ACTAAATGCATTCATGCACACGCTCATTCTTATATTCACGACAGGCGGGGGGGGACAAGTGTGACTTGTCTCTCGGCCCTTGGTAAAATAAAAGGGGTCAGTGTTAACTGATGATTGTGGACTTTCTGGTATTGTTAACCAGCTATAGCAGCTCCCACAGTCTCCTCCTCATTGATCAGGCTTATTAACCTTTCCTCATTATTGAGAGCACAAACAAGCCCCACTGAAACCTGAGTCACTTGTTAACAAGCCCAGTTGTATACTCGGTTGCAGTCTACAGCGCAGGGTGCGCTCCAGCTGAACATCTACCACCAATCCATTTCTCAGTGGATCCCATGAGAGCCGTCAATGAAATAATCTTACACAGTGTAATAATCCCCAATCTTCACATGATTTCCTGTTAGATTTAAACCTCTTATAAGGAGTCGTTTTGGTATTTTTATGTGCAATCGAGGCTTTAAAAGCCTCCTTGCGGCCACACAGTGGATGACGCGCTGTCTGGTATGCTAATGAACCTGGTATGTCTCTTCTATTCCTGTTTAAAAAGAAAAGGAATCTCTTTCAAATGCAAATGACCCATGGTGCCGCCAGTACACTAATAAGGATCAAATATTATCTCACTTCTCCTCCTCTACATCAGAGCTGACTCAGGATCGTGAATATTTTTTTTTCTTCATGCAACAATTACAAGACACGTGACACACAGAAGGCAGACACAAAACAACACCTTTTTTTTTTTTTTTCCACACGTGGATTTCCATAAGAATTTTCCTGCTCGGCTAATCTCGGGAACCAGTTGGATGGAATTTTACTGAAATGACGACTCATCTGATCTGCAGTGTATCGGGTTTTTGGTTTGCTCTCACCCCGTCTCCACACAAAGGATGACAGCATCGTGTAGTGCGCTGAGGTAGAAAAAGAGAGATGAAGACTCGGTGCTCCAACATAGCATATCTGATAGATGTATCTCACACTTCTGTATAATGTGCTGCGTTGATGCATCAAACCTGCTTTTGTTACTATGTAACAAAGACATCTGGCTGCCACATAATGGCTAAATTCATACTTAGAATGATTATGTTTCGCTTCAACTGGGATCGCTACCATAGAACAAGAATGAAAGGACGTTTTTGTCCCACTAGGAACAGGAAATTTGTCTTTGTCTGACCAATCAAGACATATAAAACAAAATTAAAAGTTATACACATATGATCAGAAATACATCCAATATATTGTGCAACTTTGATGAAATCTCCCTTTATTGGGACGTTTTTAGTGCTGTACGAAAAATCTGAAGTTCATCGCGAGAGGGAAATCTGCTACCTGTGAGAATGTAAACAAACCCTCTGCCTCCTGTTTGTGTGATACACACACACACACACACACACACACACACACACACACACACACACACATGCATACATACATACACTGCTGTCAAGGCTGTATCCCTGGTGAGGCCTTGTCTGTCCTTCCTCTCAGTTAATCAGTGTCTCCCAACAAAGAAACCCCCCACCCCACCCCCCCGCAGGCTCCCCCCCACCTCCTCCACCTGCACACCCAGCGGGCCCCCTCGCCTGCCAAAGGAAAAGAAAATCAATGGTTTCTCTATCTATCGACTGAGTGGGCAAGACAGACAGCATGTGAATCACAGTTCACAGGCGATGGCTGATGATTGGGACATCGTGATCTGAAAAAATCTTTACAAAACAATTCATTAGGAGGTACTACAGTGCTATGACTTGATCAATTGCCGGGGAGATTCGGTATAGACGATAAGGCGTGAGTTATTGGTAGCGGACGGCGGAGGAGGACCGGTGTAGGCGTTTGGGTCGGGTGTTGAGGGTGGCGGACTAGACGCTGCCGAAGTCTCGGTCCTGAGCTATATGCTTAATAGATTAAAGTGCTCATTTGGGATATCTTAATTTGCGTGGGGGGCGGTAGTGCTCTAACAGTAGAACCGGCGATTCCGCAGGGCGAAGGGTTGAGGGTTGAGGGCTATTGGGGGGGATGGGTTAGGATGGAACAGGGGTGATGAGAAGTGGGACGCAGATCGGTCGGCCACGTGTGGTGACAGCAGGAGTCGGAGGGAGTATATGAGATACTCTGTGTTGTCACAGTGTTTCTGCTTTCAGGTGAGTGTTTTGTGAATTCCGCCGATGACTGTAGATTGGATCAGGCTAGGCTAGATGTAGAGATGATTCATAGAAGAGCTGGAGTTGGCTGTCTGTTCACCGTAATCGCTATGGTGGAATGACGTACGAGCTGGAGTCCTCGGAAGGCCGTCAGCCTCACTCTTCCTGTTTTTTGCCCGTCCCCATTCCTAATGCATTCATGCACACGCTCATTCTTATATTCACGACAGGCGGGGGGGGACAAGTGTGACTTGTCTCTCGGCCCTTGTAAAATAAATGGGGTCAGTGTTAACTGATGATGTGGACTTTCTGGTATTGTTAACCAGCTATAGCAGCTCCCACAGTCTCCTCCTCATTGATCAGCTTATTAACCTTTCCTCATTATTGAGCACAAACAAAGCCCCACTGAAACCTGAGTCACTTGTTAACAAGCCCAGGTTGTATACTCGGTTGCAGTCTACAGCGCAGGGTGCGCTCCAGCTGACATCTACCCACAATCCATTTCTCAGTGGATCCCATGAGAGCCTGCAATGAAATAATCTTACACAGTGAATAAAATCCCCAATCTTCACATGATTTCCTGTTAGATTTAAACCTCTATAAGGAGTCGTTTTGGTATTTTTATGTGCAATCGAGGCTTTAAAAGCTCCTTTGCGGCCACACAGTGGATGACGCGCTGTCTGGTATGTAGAGGAACCTGGTGTCTCTTTATTCCTGTTAAAAAGAAAAGGAATCTCTTTCAAATGCAAATGACCCATGGTGCCGCCAGTCACATGGATCAAAATATGATCTCACTTCTCCTCCTCACCTGAGCATGTGAATATTTTTTTTCTCATGCACACACACAGACACGCACACAGACAGACACATGCACACCCTTTTTTTTTTTCATTCAGTGGATTTCCATAAATTGTTCCTGCTCGGCGTAATCTCGGGGAACCAGTTGGATGGAATTTACTGAAATGACGACTCATCTGATGAGTCGTATCGGGTTTTTGTTGCTCACCCGTCTCACACAAAGGATGACAGCATCGTGAGTGCGCTGAGGAAGAAAAGAGAGATGAAACTGGTGCTCCTTACAATCTGTAGATGAATTCACACTTTGTATAATGTGCTGCGTGATGCACAAACCTGCTTTGTTACTATGTAACAAAGACATCTGGCTGCACATTAATGGCTAAATCATACTAATGATTATGTTTGCTCAACTGGGATCGCTACTAGAACAGAATGAAAGGACGTTTTTGTCCCACTAGGACAGGAAATTTGTCTTTGTCTGACCAATCAAGACAATAAACAAAATAAAAGTATACACATATGATCAGAAATACATCAATATATGTGCAAACTTTGATGAAATCTCCCTTTATTGGGACGTTTTAGTGCTGTGTGTTCATCCAAGGATTTTTGTGGACGATCTACAATTGAACAGGTTGTTCTGACAACCCTAACCAACTTGTTATTGTTAACCACAGTCAGGTTGCCAAACCAGACTCAGATATTATTGGGATTATCACACATGACATCAAAATTGTTGGTGGAGTTCAGTTTGTTGTCAGTGTATGTTCCCAGGTACAGTGCCTGAAACTTTTAAAGGGGAGCACAGACGTCATAGTCAAAGTGTTTACAGGTTTTGAGGAATACAAGTTGTATGAAGTGTTTTGTGGCTCCAGAGGGAGCTGTGCAAAGTCTGATAAATTGCCTCAGGTCATGTCATTGAAGTCGGTTCGGTCTGAAGACTACAAGTTCAAAATAAAAAAAAACGTGGGTGTGTGGGGTTGGAAAGAATTGAGCTTGGCAGATCTCTGTAGGCTACTCCTCATCTCTGCTACAGGCTAGCAGCTCAAGGCTACATTAGCCTAACACACCCAAATACCCAACCTAACTTTCAGTGGTTGGGTTGCATTGTGGGTAATGGAGGCGCCAGGTTTTGACAAGGAAAAGAAATGCGTTAAAAAAGATATCTCTTTACCTCGGGGGCTGGGAATGACAACACTCCAGCGTCGACTGCATTCCAGTACAAGTCGGAAGTGCACTGTTGTTGTTGTTGCTTGTTGATGTTGTTGTTATTAAGTGGTATCAACTGGTATTAAGAATACCAGTTGATAACAAAGCATTACGCAGTATTTTGCACAACATGTCCACAAATAGAAGTTAGGACAGAACAAGATAGAAATATAAGACAGAAGTGCTAATAAACAGAATATTAATACAGCTTTCACTTCTGTTGCTGCACAGAACAGCCATCTTGGATTTTTGAGGTCGGGGGTTGGTGAGGTTCGTCTAACTCTGAGTCGGAAATCCAACTTCAGGCGACGTTCCTGTTGAAACTTCCAGTTGAAATGGAACAGACCATTATTTTTAGGCCTTTTTGCCTTTATTACTATTATTATTATTATTATTATTATTATTATAGTCAGAATCAGAGATGAAAACTAAGCCTAAATGGTACACGGTCTATCAGGTGAACCACTGGAGCGCCCGTTCACCATTATTATATATCCAGGATTGGAGGGGGGGTGGCTTCATATAGTCATCAATGTTTAGGGTTAAGTAGATGTTATGCAGCCCCTAACAAACTCATATTCTGTACTGCTTTCTTTAAATAGCATCCACTCGCTGTCTGTGTCTGGAACATATTAATAATGCTAAAATCTTTTTATCATCTGGCTGCACACTGATGTCTCATCTATCAGAGGCCAGGCCTATATGGTGGCTAACAGAGCTACTCTAACAGACTCTTATATAATTAATCAAACAGAGACACTTTCCTACAGGGACACAATGAGGCAATTTATAGTTCACGCCATCTGTTACCATGACAGCGCACCTGCCCTAATGCTAGACGGCACCCGCCATGCACACAAATGCGAGAATGCAACCTCACAAACAGACACATTATGAACTAGATACCACCCATGAAAACACATTGTCTTTCAGATCTCAATTAATTCAATAATAATGTTATTGATCCTTAAAGGGAACTCCTGAAGCTGGAGCTATAACAACACACTTCACACATCTTGGGTTTTTCATCCCTCCTCATTTCCGGTCTCATCTCTTCGTGTCAGCTGAGAAGTGTGCAGAGGCAGGTGTCATCGAATCCCGACCGTGACGATTGATTGGGTTGACAAACATAATGATAAAAGTGACACCTCTAAGAATGATGGATACCTTGAAAATCGTATTGTTTTCACTTTCACTCTCATGCTCCAGTGCAGGAGCTAGCAGCAGGCTGAGCTGCAGCAGCTGTGGCTGATCTATATGCCGTTAGTGATTAGATGAGTGAGCTAAACAATTAGACTGAGCTCATTAAACACTGGCTACATGTCCCATCCTGGTGATTATTTGTCAGTGGTTACTAAATGATGAAGTCTCTTTAGTTTTAATTTGGTCAGTGTATTATCAGTGTCAGTTGCTGCATTTCTGTGACATAGAGTATAATAATGTGTTTTTGTGTGTGTGCCCACTCAGATCATAACAGTCACAGCTACATCGGGGAGACATGGTCATCAACAGCAAGCAGCGCTGATCCGTATCCGGAGCTCCCGCGTCCGAATGACCCTCAGCTGGACCTCAGTGCACTGGTTTCCTTGGATACTGACAGCAGTGGCGAGGAGGGCAGGGAGGAAACCATTGTGTACCTCTGAATATTGATAAATATCAGACTCTAAAAGGCCAACCCAGCATTTGGAGGATCATCAGAACCAGGACTGGATCGGGGCGGCTTCAGAAAGCATTTCCCTGTAAAGATTTTTTTTTTTTTTTTGTATATTTGAAAGATTGTTTCGTGTTCTTTTTTTTGTGTCTTTTTTTGTGCAGTGGTGAGTTACTGGAAACACGGAGAGAGAAACTGAGTTAAAGAAACTGAGGTTGTTTCAGACTCAATCTCACATGTGTCATGCACCTTAGCTTGAGGCACCACTGGGTGTTCAGTGTCTCTTTATTTTCTGTTTCCTTTTTTGTGTGTGTGTGTGTGTGTGTGTGTGTGGTCTTTATTGTCTGCCTGGGCCCCTGCAGCCACACCTTTCCCCCTCTTCCCCTCTCTTCTTCCTACTGTCCCTCCAACATCGCCTTCCTTCCTCAGGTCCCACATATCTCATCTCTCGAGCTCTATATTTATTAAATTTACCACAGAGAGAGACAAAGTGTATATCCAATATCAGTGAAACATCATGCTGCATCTCTCCAGTGGGTGATTGTCTTGCTATGGAGTAAACTGCCCCTTTTTCATTCATCAGACAGGCTGTGTTTATGTACGAGCTGAGCACAGCGTGAAGCACAAAACATTAGGATTGAAAGATGAGGTGCGACAGCGTCACTCCCACGTTTTTCCGACCCGCTGCCTGTAGCAATCATTTATTTCTTTTTTGTCTTGGGCACGTTTTTCTTGTTAGGAGAAATAAGCACCGATGTGAGTTTAAAAAAGATGTTGCAGCTGTGCTAATATGTCAGTTTTATCAGAGCGTAGCAATTCCATCACGAAAGCCTGAGAAAGCATCTTCTGAGCGCATCTGTTCCTGCAAAACGTCAAAGGAAGCTGTGGTGCAGGAAGATGAACATAAGAAAAACACATTGGGCCGAGCTAATTTAAGCACTAATGCAACTGCAACAATTCACAGTAACACAAATCTCTGATGACATGTTTGTTTTCTTTCATTTATTCATTTATAGCCATGCTAGCAGCATGACTCTAGAGATAAAAATGTCTGTCAGTCGGTCGAAATATTTCTGGATAACTACTGGACGGACTGCCATTAAAGTTTGTAAAGACATTCATGGTTCCCAGAGGATAAATCCTTGTTACTTTAGTGATTCCATGACTTTTTCTCTAGCTCCACCACGAATTTGACATTTGTGGTTTTCAAATGAAATGTCTCGGCTACAGGATGGCTTGTCATGAAATTCGTTTTAGACGCTCATCTGCACCTCAGGATGAATTATAACAACTTGTGATCCCTTAACTTTTCATCTGGCACCATGCCAAACTTTTAATTTGGCAAACACCTGCAAACCAACAATATTCCCATTATTGTCAGCTGTACTTTGTGTTCAGTGCTAGTTATCAAATGTTAGCATGCTAACACGCTAAACTAAGATAATGAACTCAGTACTTAGTATGTGAGCATGGTAGCATTGTCATTGGGAGCATGTCAGCATGCTGACATTAGCATTTAGCTCAAAGTGCAATTGTGCCTTAGTGCAGCTTCACAGAGCTGCTAGCATGGCTGTAGGATCTTAGCCTGTTGTTTTTTTATTCTCTCTCATTTTTCTGTTACCACTTTATGAAAATCCCATATTTGCTACATCTTTACATGTTGTAAAGGGTGGAGGACATTATCCTGAAGTTATATTTGCAAGCGCCCAGAACAGTTTGAAGCAGCCATACCCCCAATGCTGTTATGCTTAACACTAACTTGATTATTCATTTAGTATATTTACTTATTATCTCTCATGGGCATTTTTGTGTAAAGACGTCCCTGTGCCAATGCTTTAGGTGTCTCAATGTTTTACAGACACTATAAAAGATTAATTGGTTTAATTACTGTTGTAGTCTCCTAATGGGGCGATAAGGCAGTGACAGTATTTTGACGTGATTTTAGTGCCGTGTATATATGTTTGTGCTTTTATTTATTTATTACAGTATAAAAGAGTTTTAATGTTCTACAGTGCTTTGTGAAGGGTTGTATTGTAAATAGAAGTGTACCTGTGTAAACTGATGAACAGGTGTGTTTTTTTGTTGTGTACTCATGTGTTGTATATTCATATGCAGGTGTATTGATAAAATTACTTTTATTGAACTTGAAATAGTGCTCTGTTTTCCTTTAGGCTAATTCACGGGGCTTTGTGAGGGTGTTAGTACAATGAAACAGCAAACTGGCTGAACCACAGACACAATGTTCAGCTCCAGTACAAATTTCTCTTCAGTTTTTACGTCCCCTGGTCTGAATGTGAAGCAGTGTCAGCAGATGTTTGAGTGAGGCACACGTTCGGTTGCCAGCAGTGACAGGTGGTGGACCAGGTGCATGAATGTCAGTGATTTCCTGTCTAACTGCACCTCTGTTGTGCAGTCACAAAAACCACATCAGGATTGGATGAAAGCGATATGTTGTGTAGCAACAAACAACCTCGTAACTAAACAGGCGGCCGCTGTGTTTTGAACACACGCTAAGAAATTTTATGCATATAAAGATTCCTAACAATCAAGTTCTGACTCTCACATAAAAGCTAAAAATAAAAACCGACTCCTCAGTTGGAGCTCTCAGGCTTTCCCTGACAGCAGTAATGTATTTCATGTGCTCCACCTGTGTGTAGTATGTTGCTCTTTCCCTTTCAGACAGAAGAGCAGATGCCTGAGATCAACAGGTCTCTGTTCTACACCTAATATGTGCCTTATTATTTCACCAAGGTGCCGTATATAAACACTCACTCCTTGTTAGCTATAGTTCTCAGTCTTTTTACAGCTTATTCGATTTTGCTTTATTTCATGTAATTCACAGAGACATGCAGTAATTCATGCTGCTAATTGCCATGTATACCAATTTATCATGTATGTAGCTCAAACATGATTATATCTTAGAGAGAATAAGAGCAAAGGTTGATAAGATGCTGTTATTGATCCTAACCAGTTCAAACAGATTACCATATTTTGTATATCTTTCTCTTTCATTTGAATCACCTCATCAAGTTTTAATCTTAACCATTAAGCCACCAAAATGTGGTAACTTGTCTTGATGATTTTAAACTGTCATTTTCATTGATTTTAAGTGTATATTCCTTGGGGATATTAATAATAATATTGATTACTCCAAAGGCAGTTGTGTTAAAGAACATACTTTGAACTGACAGCATTTTAACCTAATTTGCCTTCATTTGCATATGTGAATGAAAGGCTTATAACAGCTACAACAACTGCAAGGCAAAAATGCATTTATGAGATATTTGAAAGGTTTTGCATGTGATTAAAACCCAACCTAAACTACATCAACTCATATATGGTATGTTTTTGTATTTTTTTGTCCTCGCCTAAAAAATACGTATTTGTTAACTGTAACTAGGATATACTTTATACAAGAACTATGAAAATCATTATATTCTTTTTACATCGTGTCAAAAGTCCCCGGTCTCTGAGCCTAATAATGTGAGCTGTAAAGAAAACATTTTAAAAACCATTCAAAAAACCTCTCACAGCCTACGTGTTGGCTCAGAAGCGCCCGCCCCCTCGTTTGGTCTCATTGGACGCCTGTCTTCAATCTAGAATGATTGACAAAGGCAGTAACCAATAGCAGCGCTTTCTCCGACTGAAAGACGTACGTCATCGCTTTTTTCGCTCGGGTATGCTCCCTATCTTCACCCAGGCCTCCTGGACGGAAATCTGAACGCATCTTTGCAGGAAGGCCTCCATTTTGTAGCCAGAAAGCTAACGAAAACAATCATAGCACCTGCTGACACAGTTGCAGAAGCAGAAGGAAGAAGAGACGTCAATGAAATACTGAGAGAAGTGCAGAGGATAACGAATCGCGCGATAGTCTGCTATGGACTTCTCATGCCGATGTTCATAACTTGGAATATTTTGGACTCTGTGGAATACAACTAATGGATGAATGGACAGACAGTCGGACTTCTAGACCTTCTAGAGGTAGGGAATCACCTGGTGTACATGAGGTGTAACATGCCAGTATTGACAAAAACATTTACACCTTCAGAACTCCTTCCTAAAAACTGCGAAACCATTGGAACCGGTGAACTAACAAAATCAATAATCAAATTTACATCTGTTTCATCAAACAGTCAAATGTCCTCTGAGAACTATGGACTTAAACATTAAATATGATGGTATTCTATATTTTTGTTCATATAAAAATAAATATATCCCATGATAACCCCAAAACCAACAATGCACTAAGCCTGGCAGCTTATTCCTGTCTGTCATAGACTGCCATTGTTGTCCCAAAACTATTTAAAAGACATCAGTAAGGCACACTGTATTGGATGTTCCTCCATTACCATGAACATGGGCACTGTAGTTCTTTACTGGATCCCACATACACCATCCTGTATCCTGTAAATATGCATTAGCACCAAATCCTTAAACCAGTTCCCCCAAAATGTACTATTTACCTCTGAGTGATGTTTGCTACAAACTATGAAGCCCATCTGTTTTAGGAAATAAGTCTCTAAAAAATTAATCTACCGTACTTTATTTTGGGATTTAGGTAATTTAATAAAAAAGGGATTTGAGGCTAGGAGCCACAGAAGTGAGAGACTGACTGATGTATTCTTGTTTTTTTTTTAAATTCTTTTTATACGATTTGTTGTAGTAAACATAAATATAGAATTTAGTCAGCCTTACTCCTTAAAAATATAATGCAAATAAATGTATATATTTAATTTTTTACACCCACAATACTTCTGATACTCCTTCAGTGGCCTCTCAGGTCATCTGGGGCTGCTTTGCCTTCGAGTTTTAAAACAGTATATATAGTGAAGCTGCAGTTTGTTTCTCTGCACCACAAATCTGGAACAAACTTCTATAGGGAGATCTGAGGTCTGCTCCCAGTCTAATATCTTCTAAACCAATGTTTCTCTGTTTACCACGGCTTTTAGTAAAGTTGGGGGCTATTTTTGCACTGAAAAAACACACTATAACATTAATTATCTTGGCTAATATTCTGCTTTTATTTTATATACTTAAGTCCTTTTATAAACGCTGTTGCCTTGCCTTCTCACTCTGATCTTTTCCTTTTGAAGAGCATATCGAGATGTGGTCAGACCTCTGATTGATCCCCTTTGTACCTCTGGTAGCCGTTCAAAGATGCATTTTACTTGTCACCTCTGCTGTTAAAATAGAGATTACACTCCTCTCCATCAGCTCTTTTAGAGCTCGTTGTACAAAACCTCACCTAATCAGTTTTGAAAGGCTCTGTCCGCTTCAGTGAGCAGTCACTTTTGCCAATCCTTTTATCGTGGACCACATAGTTTCATATAATCCAAATGCTCCTGTGTTTTATGTCTTCTGCAGCCTTTAGAGTTCTGCTTGAAGGGAGCCTGTCAAAGGCACCAAACAGCTGCTTTAGGAGGGAGTGTTTGTGTGCGACAAAGAGAGATGGTGAAAAGGTGTGGAAAGAAAGAGGAGCAGTGCATTTTAGTACAACACAAGCTTTTTGTATGCATGTCACGAAGATGTGTCTGTGGATGTACCTGTCCCTTTTTGTGTTTGACAGGTGTTATTCCATATGCAGCCGCTCGTACTAGGATATAAATGCCTGTCAGCCATATATTTCCAGTTGAGTTGACAGTCTCTGATATCATTCCCTGATAACATTACAAAGGCTTTTCATTTCCTGCTAAGTTCACAAAGTTATTGATTCAGATCTCTTTGCAGGCTGTGAACAGTGGAGCCAAAAGAGTAAATGTCATTACATGATTTTTTTTGTTTTGTTTTTGTTTCAGTAAACCTTACACACTCCCCATTTCAACTGAAACAATGAATACTTAAGTCTCCCTCGGCTTCATCCAATAATCAGAAGTTGCTCCTTTCTCATTACACAGTGAAGAAACCCCAGTGCTGTATGTGGTCCCTGTCTGTCTCCCCTAGTTGTTTTTTAATGACCCCTGTGGAAGGTAACCAATAACACCAAAGGAAAAACCGATAAAGGGGGAAACATATTATCGCTGAGTCATCTGCCAGGGTGAAACACGCGTTGCTACAGCCTCTCCCAAGGGGAAGTGTAATGATTTCTGTAGGCACACAGAATAAACCTGCCTGGCCCAAATATAAATAATAGCCATTAAAGCTTATCCCAGAGAGGAATGCTTTCTTGAGAAATCTGAACAATATACAGCACATATACAGGTTATTAGATTTCTCTTGGGGAGAAATATAGTGACAGGCTAGACTCAATATATATATATATATATATATGTATATACACAGAGTCCTCGAGGAGAAGATCCACGATGACTGTAACAACTTACTGTGAATTTGTTTGACTTTCAATACTTTTTGCCAGGCTTTCTTTTTTTCTCTCTATTAGTGTGTACTACATATTTCAGTGTAAATGCCTTTGCAGCCTTTGCACTCTTTTGGAAAGTATGCAGCCTTATTTTTGAAGTGACATTTTCAGTCACAGATCGTTTGATCTTTGCTTTTGACCCTGCTTTTTAATTGGTCTCACTCATCACGTCCCCTTTAAAGTCACGGCCTTTTCCTGCAGCTGTGTCAAGACCAAGTGCAATGATGTTTACCCAAAAATAAATGCTAATTACAGCACTTAGACAGTAGACTGCTTCAATGTCACAGCCACAAGTATGAGCCTCAGAGCAACGGCATGCAGGGTCAGATAGGACACTGTTTTATAACATCGCCGAAGGCTAGAGTATGAGAAGTTTACACCATTTCTAGACGTGCTTCATTATGCTTGGGAAAATTAAATCTGTAATTTCTCTGCTCATGAGTGTTTTGCATTTCCAGTTGGCTCTAAAAATCATATTATAAGCCGGGCTCTGTGTTAGAATAACAACAGTTTGGCTGCTTTTCCTCCTTTTGTCTGAACATCAAGAGGCACATAAATTTAAATTAGCCCAGAAACAGAACCTGATAGTTATCCAACAACAGGCCACAGTGGGATAGTCACAACTGATTGCGTGGAAGTAAATAATAATGTGCAGGAAGAAAATAGATTTAATTTAGGAATTATATACCTTTTTTAATGGTTGACACAAGCTATGCGCGTTTGTTTGCTTTTCAGACATTTCCATATTGTA